TGACGGTCCTGCGGCAGGACAGCCATCCGAGCCTCCATTCTTGTTTTAGAGGTCCTGCATCGGTTCTTGGGGTCGTCGTGGCCGTGATGAAGTTGTCTCCGTATGTGCACAAATGTAACATTTAGATATGCGTGAATGTACATGTGTAGGTATATGCATAATTATATGTATATTTGTATGCATATGTACGTGTGTATATAATGCAACTATACATGTACGTGCACATGTGTGTATGAATATGTGCATTTATATACTATCCATCTATGTATGTAAATACATGCATTTATGCATGTAGATATGCATGCGTGCATGTATGAATGCATGCATGTCAGTATGTCTGTCTGTCGTCGGGTATCTAGTATGTATCCATGCGTGCGTGCGTGCATGCATATATGTCTGCATACCTGTCTGTCTTTCTGTCTGTCTGTCTGTCTGTCTGTCTGTCTGTCTGTCTGTCTGTCTGTCTGTCTCTATGCACATATACACATACACATATTCGTATGTACATGTATGTCGGTACATTTATGTATGCATGCATGCATGTATGTGTGTATGTATGTACGTATATATGAATGTATGGACGTATGCCTGTATGTATGTATGCATGCATGCATGCATGCATGTATGTGTGTATGTATGTGTGTATGTATGTATGTATGTATGCATGTATGCATGTATGCATGTATGCATATATGTATGTATATACGCATACATGCATGCATGTATGTATGTATGTGTGTGTGTGTGTGCATGCATGCATGTATGTACGCATACATGCATGCATGCATGCATGCATGCATGCATGCATGCATGTATGTACGTGCGTGTATGCATGTATGCACGTATGCGTGTATGCACGTATGCATGTATGCATGCATGCATGGTATGTATGTGTGAGTGTGTGTATTTATGTATGTATGTATATATGTATGCACGTACGCATACATGTCTGTATGCATGTAGGTATGCATGCATGCATGCATGCATGCATGCATGCATGCATGCATGTATGTATGTATGCAGGTCTATTTTTATGCATGCATGTATGCATGTAGGTATGTGCGTGCGTGTGTATGTATGCATGTATGCACACATACACACGCACGCACATACATATATACACACACATTTATATATACATATATATATATATATATATATATATCCCCGTGCACGAGGCCCTGGGGACCTGGGACCGCGACGTCGACAGGGCATGGGGGGACCGGGCGTCGTTTTCCCAGTGTTTTTTTTACGGGGTTTCGGCGACCTGGGGCCAACAGGGCCCTCAGAGGCTGCAGACGCCTTTCAAGGCGACTCCCATGACGCCAAGAAAGCCCCCGAAGGCCCCGAAGACGCTCCAAGAGGCACCCCGAGAGAGGCCCAAAAAGCAAACATTGAATTGTCGATTTCCTGCGGGAGAACTATTTTTTTTGAGGGGTGTTCGCCTTTTCGGCGTCCACTGCATCCAAGACGGCCCAGGAGGCACCCAAGCCGGTCGAGGATTCCCCCAAGAGGGCCTCTAAACGGCCCACGAGGGGGCCAAGACCCACGCGGATCACCTCGGGACCTCGCCGCCCCCTGGGGGGCTTGCGATCTGCGCAACTGTCGCCACTTTCGTGGGATCCTGGGAGGCCCAGCGGAGGTGGGTCCCACGCGGATCACCTCGGGACCTCGCCGCCCCCTGGGTGGCTTGCGATCTGCGCAAGTGTCGCCACTTTCGTGGGCTCCTGGGAGGCCCAGCTGAGGTGGGTCCCACGCGGATCACCTCGGGACCTCGCCGCCCCCTGGGGGGCTTGCAATCTGCGCAAGTGTCGCCACTTTCGTGGGCTCTTGGGAGGCCCAGCGGAAGTGGGTCCCACGCGGATCGCCTCGGGACCTCGCCGCCCCGTGGGGGGCTTGCGATTTGTGCAACTGTCGCCACTTTCGTGGGCTCCTGGGAGGCCCAGCGGAGGTGCGTCCCACGCGGATCACTCGGAGGTACGTCATACGCGTTTCTTTCAGCGCCCCAGTGTTTCCATTTTGTATGTTTGCCGTTCGTCTTCGTGCTGCGCTCTTCTGAAATCACTGTCGAGTGCTCTTCTGGCGCACTGCGGGTCCTGCAGAATGCCAGTCAGCATTGAGTGGTCCTGAGTATAATCGCCACATGTATAGAAAGGGTTGGGTACGTCACATGGGAATTTAGGTTTTTGATTCAAGCGCGGCTGATTGAGCCTGTTGCGGTGAATGCCGACTTCCAGCTTCAAGAGTTTCAAGCACGGGCCAGCCCTTGGAGTATGCGCCGCGTTGGCAGCGTATCAGGCCAAAGTATCTGGGGCGTCGCAGGAAGCACACGCACGCACGCGCACACGCACGCGCACACGGATCGTCCCCTCCATGGTGTTATTTGACAGGGATCGTGCCACCCCCCGGCACGCACGCAAGGGCGTTGGAATGATTTCGACATGCGCGCGCGAGGCCCGTTTGGATGATTTCGGTGGAAATGTTGAAACAAACTTATGGTTCTCTCAAGGATTAATGACGCTTCGCGTGACCCCACCAGCTGGTCCCCAATCGCCGGGATGTCTGCGCCGGCCTTGGCGTGTAATTTGGGTCATTTTGTCCTTCGCATGTGCATTGCCACTGCGGCCAATTATCTTCGCTTCGCGCCCCGTTCGATGCCCCGCTCCTTGACATTCGCCTGGGAGCCGCCAACCAAAAAAAGTGACCCCACCAGCCCCGAGCTTCAGGATGCCCCCTGCCGTCAGCTCCCCCACAGCCACGCGGCTGGTTTGTGAGTGGGCCGGCCGGCTTGCGGCGCGTCTTGTAGCTAATTAGGCTTGCCCGTTGGCCCGGACACCCTGCTCGCCGCCTGCCTCTTCGCTCGCGGCCGCGACCCCAAAAAAGTGACCCCACCCACCAGTCCCTTTACGCCGCCCGACCTTCTCGCCGTGGTCGCGATCAAAAAGTGACCCACCAGCCCATCCAGAGACGATGCCCAGAGGAGTTGCCTCGATCGGGGAAGTGGGCAGCACACAGAGGACGGGTCCCTCTTGGAGCGGTTTTGGAGGCCTGTTGGGCGCTTCTTGGGGCCTCCTGGGCGCCTCTTGGGGCCCTATTGAGGCACTCTTGGGAGCCTTGGGAGCACTTTTGGGGCCATCTCGGAGGAAATCGAGCAAAACAGATGGGAGCTTTAACTACGACCCCCCCTCGGGAACCCCAGAAGTCGCCTCATGGGTCCTTCTTGGGGCGCTCTTGGAGCGCTCTTGGGCGCTCTTGAGGCCGTCATGGGGCTCTCTTGGGCCCCTCTTGGGGCCCGCATGGGCCTTCTTGGAGCTATCTTGAGGCGCCGGAAGGCCGTCGGAAGCGACGGGCCAAGACGACGGGCGGCGACGAGGCAGCGACGGGGCGGCGACGGCGACTACATAGCCGCCGGAGCGACAGACAGGCCCAGACGACGGGCGGCGGCGAAGCGGCGACGGGGCGGCGACGGCGGCCATATAGCCGCCAGAGCGGCAGACAGGCCCAGGCGACGGGCGGCGACGAAGCGGCGACGGGGCGGCGACGGCGGCCACTAGCTGCCAGAGCGGCAGACAGGCCCATTTCTTTAAAAGAGAAATAAGCACCCCGAAGTGCAAACACTGTGTGGGAAACTATTTGTATACATATATGTATATATACATATGTGTATCTAAACATATATATATATATATATGTACAGTTACTGCACAGCATAGCTCAAACCATATCGCTTACACACCATAGTTCGCACGATATGTCTCACAGTGCGTGGCTTTTACCACATTGCTCACACCACACTGATTATTTGACACATGGATTGTTATGCACACATGAAATTTTCCAGCTGATGCATGATAGTTCACACCCTACAGCTCGCAACACATATCTTTAATAGCATAGCACCCACCATTTAACTCATGCCACATAGATCACACACATAGCTTGCACAAGACAGCTACGAGATAGCTGAAACAACGTGGCTCGCGGAACAGAACTCGCACCGCCAAGTTTACACAGCAACGGTCGCACAACAAAGCTTGCACAACATCTATTCCACCTCCTCAGTGCAAAAACTCTTTGCTTGGGGTCCACGCTGGCTAGCAGTCCTTCTTGACATCTGTTGTATCGTATGCGCCTACCTGCGCGGCCAGGAACTTTTACCTTGCGTATCGCGCCGGCAATTGGCCCACTACGCGTCGGCACCACACGCTAACCACGTCCCCGTCCACAGGCGATACCGTTTTGAGCTCTTGTCGGCCTCCCGCCCCGCGGAGCAGAGCGACATGCTATCCGCTTGTAGAGCATAGCGTGTCGCCGGGGCCTCCGCCGCGACACGTCAGGCAGCAGCTCGTGACCGCAGGGCAGAGACATCCGTGGGTTCAGGGCGTGCCGTTGGGCCTGCTGGGCCCCAGGCGTCGCGCGAGGCTGGTCGGCCCGTGGGGCTCCCGAGCCCTCGAAGCTACCCCGCCCCGGGCGCAGCCAGTCCCTCTCCGAGGAAAGTCTTCGGCGCCCTACCAGGAGGCAGCCCACCTCAAGCAGTGGCGCAGCGTCCTGGCTGGCCTGTAAGGCCACCAAGAACTGTTTTGAGATTTTTTTTGTGGTTTGCAAGAACAGTTCATGGAACCTTTCTGGCTGAGACGGTCTAGTTTTTAAGCAACGGGTTAGTGTTTTAAGAACATGGTTTTGGCTTTTAGAGCGCTTCTGGGTTCGCACACTTTCGAGCGATTGCCAAGATTGTGCGAGCGATTCCGCAAGCAATCTACGTCATTCATCATGCCTTTTTGTGGCAATGCAGTTCATGATGTCGTGCTCTTCTTGGGCGCGACTGGAGTATCCAAAGGCCTTGGGTCGGATCACGGGAGAAAGGCGGCTGGAGTTGATTCCCAGATGATCCAGTTGTAGTTGGAGGGCCCGCCCGCCCACGCCGTGAACACCAGCGCCGCGGCGGCTGCGCGGTCGCCAGCGGACAGCGGCACGGCACATTTGCGGCGCGGGGTGGGCGC